GCGACTCGTGCCGGGAGAGCGGCCGCCTCCCGGCGAAGGCCGGGTGCACCGAGGCCGGGTCGAGGGGAAGCCGCTCCGGCCGGCCGCCGGTGGAGGTGCTGCGGGAGATGCCGGCGGGGGCGCGGGCGGGGGCAGGAGGGGGGGCAGTGGTGGTGGTGGTGATCGCCGGGGCGGTGCCCCCGTTTCCTCGCTGCTGCCCGCCCTCCGACTCGGTTTGTTTCACGCCGCCGCCGTTGGTGCCGGTGGTCGAAGCAGCCCCGTTCGCTTCGACGGAATTACTCGATTTATTGCCGCCGCCGCTGGTGCTGCCGTCGCCGTTGGGACTAAGCCGGGCTGCTGATGTTGCTGCTGCTGCTGCTTCCTGTGCTGCTCCCGCCGGCGTATCCTGCTGCTGCTCGGTCTTCACCGTGGCGACAACGACAGCAGTGGCGGCGGCAGCAGTGATACTCGCGTCAGCGTCCCCAGCCCCACTCTGATCGACGTCCATCCCCGTGGTTGTACTAGCAGCAGCAGCAGCAGTAGAAGCCGCGCTGATGTCCGTCCCCACAGCGGCGGCGGGGGAGGAGGAGGACAACGGGGTCTCAGGCACAACCCCCGATGCCGCCGCCTGCGGCGTGGAGGGCATCGCGGCACCGGTGGCGTCTGTGCCAGCAGCGCCGACCGCGGGGTGCCCATCTTCCTTCTTGACCACGACCACCCCGCCGGCTGCGGCGGCGGCGGTTTCACCCGCGGTGGCGGTACCTGGCGTTGTGTGCTCCTCTTGCTTAACCTGCGCGGTAGCAGATACGATAACGGTCATCACGAACGAGGGTCAAGCGGCCGTACTGTACAACTGCAGGAGTATTCCGGAAAATGGTCCAGCACCGGTATTCTACGTTAACGAGGCATGTACCACATCCAACAACGAAACGGTGGTGAACCTGGGCGCACACGACCGCAAAGCATGCCGCGTACTGGGGCCACGCCCTCTGACATGTCCGTGTGTATCCTTCTTTACTCCTTTGAATCTACACATCCATGCTACGTTTACAATGTAGCAGACGGGAGGGGGTACGCAGAGTCGATCTCAAAGCCCCCTCCCACCTGCGCGCCCATGGCTGGCGTCGTCGCCCCCGGAGCAGCGGCGGCGGCGGTGGCGGAGGCGGCGGGGGTGGGAGCGTCCACGACTCCCAGCCCCGCCTCCTTCATGCTCTCGGCGTCTCTCCGTCTCTCCGGCTGCAACACCCATGACTCGTACAGGGACTCGGTCAGCAGCGCGAGCGAGTCCGCGGCGTGCCAAAAGTCCGTGTTCTCCTGCATCGTGATCCAAAAGAGAACCATGGGGAGGGCGGGGGGGGAGATTGCGGCGTGTCACGGTGCCCCCAGAAAACATGGTGCCAGTGTGTAGGCATACGTGACCGTTACCGTTCGTTGAGGGCACCAAGTATCGGTGTGAAGTATCGGAACCATCATTCGTATGTATGATGCGAAGACGACAAAAGAGGCGGACTACTTCGCGCGCAACCAACGAAGTACCTGGTTGAACACTTTCGCGTTGGACCACACGAGACGCAGGTCGTCGACAACTTCTTGGTGCCACTGGTAGCGCCGGCTCCAGAGCCTTCGGCGCACGGTGCTCTGCGCCCAGAGAAGAGAGGGCATGGGGGGGGGGGGGACGAAGGAGGGGAGACACACGCCGCAGCGTCGTGTGTGTGTCAGCCGGTTTGGACACCAAAGAAATGTTGAAGCAGAACCAACGCTGCAGCAGTCAGTACGAGTACCACCAGGTATCCCAAGATGAACAGCGGCGTCACCAAGCAAACAAAATCAAACAAAAGCAACACCACAATGCACACCACAGCGATAACATCAATCTGCTAAAAGTTTTCGATTTGTTGAACGCCAGGAGGAAGGAAGGCCCGAGCACCAGTAAATCGACACAAAATCGACACCAGAACAACCACTTTTGCAGTGGCACAGCACGCACATCAAGGTTTCAGCCCACGAATCACCGTATGTAACAACCAACCTACGCAATGCCGGCACTCCCAGCGGACGAAGAAAATACACAAAAAAACACACAAACACACACACACACACAGGCCAAGAAAAGCTGAGCCTCACCAGGTCCATAGGCTTGGACACGACGTCCGCGTACCCGGGCACTTGTGCGGGGTCCACCGGTCGCACGAACGCCGCCGCCAGCGGCCTCGAGATCAAAATCGCCACCATGTCTCCGCACCTGCGGGAACAGACGGGGCGGCAGGCAGGACGGGGTTACGGCGGGGGGTCGCGGGGTTCCTTTTTCCCACTGGCTAACGTCTCACACCCCACGCAAGATTGCTGCTGCTGCTGCTGCTGCTGCTGCCTGCGGGCAACTGGGTTCAAGCCATGATCCCTTTCTCAGTCTGCGTTGCGTTCTGTTGCACCTGATGATGCTGATGCTGCAAAAAAAAAAAGAGCACCTGACGATGCTGTTGTGGCCGAAAAAAAAAAGAGTGGGTCCCAGCAGCATCGTGCGCTTGTCCCGCGACTGACCTTTGTGAGAGTTCCGTCGGTCACCATTATTCGGGGGAAACCGACGAAGGCTGCAGACATACAAAAAATAGAATCCACACAACAGCTACAGGGCTGGTAGGATTCAGCAGCAGCAGCAAAAACAAGAAATATAACAAAGACGACACAACAAATGGCTGATAAGAAAAACAACAACAAAAGCATCAGCAGCAGCAGCAGCAGCAGCAACAACAACAACGCACCTCGCGAGCCAGCCCGACGGTCGGACGCTGAGGAGCGCCGCCATCTCACTCGTCCGCATCTCCGGGTGTGCCCGATGGTTCGCCAACGCCACCAAGGCATCACCAGCCACCTCTGGCCAGGTCAGCAGGTTCACCGGTCTGGGGGAAAACAAAACAGGGTGAGGTGTGGACCCAATCCCCCCACAACAGCAGGCCAACACGGTTTGTTTTCCAACAAGAAAGGTGAAGCAAGCAGATTGAAAAGGCGGTGTTAGAAAAAAATCCTGTTCTTGACATAGGCCCAACTCCAACGCAGAAAAAAAGCCTATCAACCCCACCTCTGTCGCCCAAAACCAGAACCAAACTCCCTAAACACTCAGACCAATCTTGACCGTGGCTTCAGCCCAACTTCTAACGCAGAGATAAGCCAAATAACAACCCCACCTCTATCGCCCAAAATCACAATCGAAGCCCCTAAACACTAAGACCAATCTTGACCCTGGCTTCAGCCCGACCTCTGACGCAGAGATAACAACCATCCCACCTCTGCGCCAGTACGTCGTCGACCAGCTTCTTGGACATGTGCCTCCGCAGGACGTCCCGCACCTCCACCAGGAGTATCTTGGTAAGCAGCATGCAAGCCTCGGAGAAGGCCAGCTCTGATGGCGTGGGGATGGCGACGGCCTGCTTGCGTGATAAAAAAAGAAGCCGCAACAAAAAACGAGCAACGTGAAAGTAGCGCGCGCAAATTAGCACTCCTCATTAAAAGTGTTTCGAACGCGGGCGATACCTGGTTGTCCTGGTGCCGAGTACCCGTCCGCCACCGCGACTGTGCGAAAGTGTCTCCACAACGGGCAAGGGCTAAGCAAAAGCTATGTACATACGACAGACGAGTTTTCGGGGTCTTTTGCGGGCCATTTCTTACAAAAGGGTGCGTGGGAGAGAGCAGCGACAGACAGAGGAGCGCCAAAAAAAGAAACAACGCTGGAAGAAGAGACGAAAGGGGGTGTCGCGGAGTGGAGCAGATAATCCCCCCCCCCGACACACACACACTTTCCTAATTCTCGAACCACGCCGCACCCGCTACACAACGGTGCGGAAACCCACAAGACGAAGACAAGCAGCATCGGTTATAATAGGCGAAACAGAAGCAATTTCTTGCCATCTCAATCAACGCCATGAACCAACCGTAACCGACTCCTTCTCCTGACACCAAACAATCGTGCTAAAAAAAAAACGCGCAATGCCGTATATACCACACTTTTGTACACATGGTCTGGTACAACCGGGCGCTTCGCGCACCTTTCCCGTGGGGGGGGTGAGCGCGTGGATCATGCGCTTCGTCGGAGGGAGTACCATCCCCACCAAGTCGCGCGTAGAGGAGAGGAAGTCCCACGCCATGAGAGCCTGCTCCACGGTCTTGGAGCACCCGGACAACGCAGGGTCGCTGGAGCGACAGAGGGCAACACGAACAACAATCAGCGGGGGCAAGGGAGGGGTGTGTGGGCAAGAGGTATCGCGGGAAGACGCGGAAGGGGGGGGGGGGGGGGGGGGGGTATTCTGCGGTACAGCAGCGAGGTATGAGCACATCTCACTTGAGTCACACCGTTCCAAATCATTCCAACTATTGAGTCATACAGGGCATGGGTTCGTACGGCAAGTGTCACCAATGCTTCGGCGATCTCAGTCAAGACCCACTTCTACTGCTGCTGCTGTGTCGAAGCCCAGTGGAGACAGAAACACCGAACAGACACCCGTGCGGGATAGGAAGGTGGGGCTGCTGGATAGAGGCTGCTTCAACCCATGCGTCAAAAACTGAACGGGGTGCCGCTCGTAAAATCTTGCGGAAGACCGACATTCGGACGTGAAAGAACACGCACTTCCTTCGTGCAACGTAACACAAGAGATCCGGATCTTCTCACCCTCAGAGTGAACGCTCTCTGGCGTCAGTCTATGACGTCAGTCAATAATCAGCCTTCGACGTAAGGCCAGTCTTCTAACTTGTGCAAGTGCAATGCGATGACTGACTACTACTGTGCCGCACCATGGAAACAGCGGACTCGGTTTTCCCAGGGTCGGTGGGAGAAGCTCGCTCGACTCGAGAGGGGCCGCAGCTGGTCGCCCCATCTGCGTATCCTCCCTGCCGACCGATATGTACGAGGCAGACAGATGAAGACAGTCACATAAGACAGTCAGAAAAAGCAGTTACATAAGACAAGAAAGGCAATGAGACAGACAACATACGGACACAGACAAGACAGACAGACTAGGCGGATACGTAAGACAGACAGACAGACAGGCAGGGGGGGAATACAAGAGGAAAGCACACGGCACTGACTGTGCAGCACCAACACTGAAACGTAGGTATTCAAGAAGGAGCGAAGGAGCAGACAACAACACAACACAACACCGACTTCCCCTTTTTAGTCTTTGTTGAAGAGAGCTGGTGTTACAACACAATCACTCCCAACAATAGGGATGCAACCGAGACCACGCGACGGAGCGCCGGCGGGGACAAAGCCCAAAACATTTTGCCGCCGCTGGTGGGGCGTGGTGCAATCAGGCCGCCCACGGCTCTCTCTCCGCATTCGATAGATACATCATATCACACCGCTCCCCCGATACCCCTGCCCAACACGATTGGCGCAACAAGTCTGGCGGGGGCTTGGCCGCACCGAGGACTGAACCCAAAACACAGGCAGCCGAAGCGTGCACCTACAAAGCACGTACAGTAGCACGTCTTAAGGTTACAAGGGCGGGTTTCGTCTCTTCTCTTCGTGTGCCGCGTCAAGCAGAGCGGTGGTGCAAGATTTCCCACAGCAGTAGGTCAGCCCGCTAGATGGTGGTGCCATCGATCCAAAAAACAAAAACAGAGACAAAACACACACGCTGTCTCTTTCTCTGGATCCCCAGGCTGGACGTCTGTCTGTCTGTCCAGTCCCCTCCGCGGGGAACCCTGTCGGAAAATCCGCGCACCACTACTTCAGCGATCGTGTCGTGTTTCTGCGGGTTTGTTTGTCTCTCTGCGGTAGATATTATGCCCAGGGGTTAGCATCCGATCTGGGCTGCCTTAGGCCTTGGTGGAGTATTTTGACCCCACCGCAACCGGGTTGGCTGTGACTGGAGGAGTGATTCTTCGCCTCGGAGAAGAGGTGGCAAACCCGCCTGCCGCCGCCTCTTCCGGGGGGCAGAGATTTCTACGGCACTCCTGGTTCTTGTTAGGAAGGTGGCCGCCTCAAGCGCCGGCGACAAGTCCAGTGTGACCGGTGGCCAGCGCGCCGGCACCTTGGAGCAGATGGCCTACGCACACACGCCTTATGGCTATGGTGGCCATTTCTGCCCGCCGCCGCCGCCGCCGCCGCCGCCGCCGCTTTTTCATTTGTCAAACGTGTGGGTCCTCCCGGTACAGGCTGAGAAGGCAGTTGTGGGCGTTGAAGAGCATGGTTGAAGACGTGAATGACTGAGATTGCACGGCTGCTGGGAGGAGGCGCCCGCCCGCCCCCGCTCCCGCGCGCTCCGGCGCCCTTGGCGCCCTTAGTCGTCCTGGGCTCCTAACATCCCGAGGAACCGAGGAAGACTAACGACGCCAAGGGCGCCGGAGCACGCGGGAGCGGGGGCGGGGGCGGGGGGGGGGTGCCTTCTCCCAGCAACCGCGCAATCTCAACCATTCACGTCTTCAACGGTGCCCGTCAAGGCAAACAATAGCCTTCTGTGCGGGTGGGCCTACAGCAGTAGTACTGGTGCATTCGTTGACAAATGCAAGAGACAGCGATGCCCACGAAAATCACAAGGCGCGTGTGTAGACGCCATCTGCTCCAAGGTGCGCGGGCGCGTTGGCCACCGGTCACAACTCCTGCTGCCCCTCTCACGTTGCGGTTACACACAGGCTTTGGCTTAGTTTGTCTCAAGATGTTGTCGGTCGGCGAGTGTGGTTGGTTGTTGCACGAAGCTCTTGGGCCCGTGGCCGTTTCACGTGGTTCCGTTTGTTTGATTTTTTCCCGACTTCCGGACTTCGCTCGTTTCTATCTAGCCTTTCTAGTTGGGCTGTCCAGGTTTTTCATTTTATTCGCTGATCACGCGCTGTAGTTCATGTTGGCACCCGTTGTCTTGTTTGCGTCATTGAACTCGTCCCGTTGAGCTAGAGGTACTTCAGAAGCAGGACACTGTCGTCGTCCAACTCCTGCGCCCCCCTCCTGTCGGTAGAACCCTTTTAACAGCCCGTTGACTAGAAAAGTGTTCGTGTTTTACATCCCGCTACTAGCCTGACGTATTTTCATTGATCAGCCGGTTAGCGCCATGCTATAATCAAAGAAACACAAACACACACGAGAGTAGAATAGACACACACGCGCGAGAGTAGCATAGCCTTCCCCATGACGCCCCCCTCACGGGAGTCCCAGATCATGGCCTTTAGAAGCATTTCGTGTTTTCCAGGCGCACTGAGACTGACGTCTCTTCATTGGCCAGCCGGTTAGTTAGCGCCGTCGATGCTAATAATAATAATAAAAAAAAACACACACACACAACACACCTGCGCTTCTTCGCGGCTTGCTCCTTCGCCGCCGCGTACGTGTCCGCCTTGGAACAGGTCTGCCGCTCCTCCCCTGACCGCCCCCGTCGGCGTGACCAGTGCCACCGCTCCTCCGACAGCCGAGACCGGAGCTTTCTGCGAACGGCCTGAGTACATACACGCCACGCGATGGGGACTTTGGTAAGGGGGGGGAGGTACTCATGCCGTAGTTGTTAGACCATTTGGTAGGGAGAGGGGTGAGACATTTCTGGATTTGAATAAAATAACGGTGGGATGTTTAGTTGTATTGAGCTGATGTGTGTAGATTGCCGACGTCTTAAGTTTGACATTACTTTTGTGTATGGCTCGTCTAGTGTGCGCTGATGTTTTCCGGCATTTTCCAGGCCTTTCTCGCATCTGTGCTTAGTCCTACCTGTTTCACTCTACACCAACAAATAACACCAACACTGACAAAAAAATACCACAATCAACGGCCACCAAAATCGCCTTGAAATCCATATCATCGTTCTTAGCATCAACGGTAACAGGACGGAAAAAAAATGTCCACGGCAACGACCCGTGTTGGTTGATACTGCAGCCGCTGACATGCCTGGAGGGCGCCGAGGGCCTTGCTTCTCTCTACGGCCGCCCTGCCCGCGTCCTCTCGCCGATGGGCGGCACTCTGCACGGCACGGCATCGGCGGCCACACAGGTCGAGGGAAGCGGTAAACGAAACAAGGGGGGGCACCGTGAAGGAAGAAAAGGGGGGGTTCCGCATAAGGAGGCAGGAGGGAAGCGGTGGACGCAAACAAGGGGCGGGGGCACGGTGAAGGAACAAAGGGGGGGTCCACAGAAGAAGGCGTTAATTTGGAGTACCAGGTTTACTTTCGGCCGAAAAGCTAATTAAGAATAGGCGAGAAGAGGGGGGCTACGTGATACGGCAATATTCGGCGACAGAGTGCAAGGAAGGGATCGTGACTCTTGACACCTGCTCACGCCCACATGTTCAGACACCGTCGTGCGTTGCACGCATGCAAGATTGTGTACGAAATGATTTGGTTGCTTGCGCGCAATCGTTTTGGGTTCAGAGCCGAATTTCCGAAAAGAAAAAAGGAAATAGGTTAACAACGGCAATCCAAACCAAAGCTTCCCCATGTTACACAACCGTAGCACAAACACCACCAGCATTTCCTGTCCTCTATTTTAAAAGCCCCCCTATTGAAGGACTTAGTACCCCGCTCCGTTCAGTCATGTTTGGATTAGCCAGGTGCCGCATTGTCTAAATTTAAAGCATTCCATTCTTTCAAGGCATACAACCTTAAAGGCGTACAAGTCGCAGCTGTCCGCCCCTGGCAGCCCCTCCACCCGTATCTTGATGTCGGGAGCGATGAGCCCGAGGTGTCCGTCGGCTCCAAGGCCGACACCGCCGTCGGCGGGATCGATGCTCTCCGTCACTCTGTCAAGAACGGAAACCAAAAACAAAAAAAGCGAAGAAAGAAAAAACATTATATGAGAAGAAAAAAAACGTGTAGTGGAAACGTGCGTATAGGCGTGTAAAGAACAACAAAATTGTGCGGTGACTACATGGTGCAACCTAGAATTTTAATCCTCCCGTGAGCCAAGAAAACGGAAAAAGCTTACAAGAAATGTCGACAGCAGCCTGCAGCATCACGGCCGGCGGCGAAGGCTATCATCACATCACCGCAAAACAAGAAACACACTCAAGAAGCACTAATAATACAAAGAAAGGGGCAGGAACATGTATGTACGATCGAATGAGCAATAATTGGTGCTCGCCGGTCCTGACAGAACCGGCGATAAAACAAACGGGGCTCAAAAACAAAAATCCAGGGACGGTTACGGAAGAATTGGTTTGGTTGCTATTCGAAGAATACAGCAAACATTAACATTTGATTCGATGCATGCTCGCCTGTCGAATCCGGCCACCACAAGATAGTACGCGCTGTCCTCCCCCGCTTGGCCCGACACCGTAAAGACCACGTCACGCTTCCTTGCGGTCGCTTTCGTCTTCAGAAAAAAAAACAGTGCGTTTATTCGGGGTTGGTTTTTCAGTTCCGCGTAGCGCCGCGGGAGGGGGGGGGGGGAGGGGGGGGAGACGGGTGTGAGTGACAACTGGACGTTAATCAGCGGCAACGCGGCAACAAAACACACAGCAGAAGCAGAGGCAAGGCAGCGACTAGTACGTACATCAGCCAGACTACCACAACTCATAACGCTACCAAAACCCCCCACCCGACCCGTAGTGCCACCCAACACCATCACCATCACCACAATACACCAACACCAACACCATAACATCGCTACCACCGCCAAGATAAACGTAACTCAAAAGTGCGAGTGATAGTGATCACACACCCTTTATTTACTTTTGACCGACTTTCGAAAAGTCTCGATTGCTCCACAACCAAGAGGGGCGCGCACGACAAACCGAACGGCACACACGAATATACGTGCAGCAAGGAAAGCAACCTCCCGTGTCGACGACACACATCTTGCCCCCCCCCAAAGACAGACCGCCCTTGTCGGCCCTTGGCGCTACCAATACCTGCCAGCCGCGAAGCAAAATGCGCGTGCCAAGACAGACTACCCGTACAGGCGGCATGGACACCCTGCCGGCTGGCTGCGGAGCAACATACGCTAAAGTACCGAAGTCCGGTCTACGGGGTGTGCGATCACCCGCTCTCTTCTTGTGTACGGCATGCAGTCTAGTGGACTCACCCTCTGGTCCGAAGAGACCCTGCCCCGGTGGGCCTTCGCGCACGCGTTCGCCGCCTCGGTGCCGACGACAACAGACCCCGTCGGGGTGAGCACCACCTGCGGCGGCGGCGGCGGCGGCGGCGGCGGCGCTGCTGTCGCTGCTGTCGCTGCTGCCGCCGCCTCCGTTGTCGCGGTGGACGGTGTTGGATCATCTGCACCGCACGGACGACCGAAGCAGCAGACGGCGACAGCAAATACCGAGCAGCAACAGCAGCAGCAGAAGCAGCAGCAGCAGCAGGCAGTGGCAGCGGGACGGGTGCGGCGTTTGTAAAAATCAAAAGAAGAAAAGCAACGAGGGGGATCCCCCGAAGCGGGAATATTCTAGCTAGCCTAGTGTAGCCCACCCCAAATACTCTACAGCACTTTCCTTCGCCGTGAAAATTTTGCACGCATCCAAAAAAAGGCGCACTACAGCAGTAACCCAAAAGAGACGACAAACGCAAATACAGCAGCACGCCGGTACAACACGAGGACAGAAAACAAAGCAAAACGACGAAACGGGAGACCCGTAAGGAAGACATTTTCTCTTCACTACCGTACCGCCTTAACCCACCCCTCATTCACCGCCAACTCTCAATAGATTCGTGAGCCAAAACTGTTTGCGGAGGGGGGTAGCCGCCCAGAAGAGTAAACCGGTACTACAGCTGTGCCTGATGGTCGCACCCAGCCTGAGGCCCTGTGTCGGGCAGGGGCTGCAGTGCAAAACGAAGAGCACACGTGTAGCCAGATGAACAAAAAACATTGTTGCACGCCATACAAAGTAACGTCCTCTGCCGCGTACCTCGAAGCTGGAACCCCGCCGGCAGGCTGGGATGCGGCTGAAACTGCGGGGCCGCCGCCCTGGCCCTACCGGTAGCACTAGCTCCGCCAGTACCACTATCAGCAGCAGCAGCAGCAGCAGCAGCAGCAGCAGCAGCAGTACCAGTACCCTCTTCTTCTCCTTGACTCTTAGCGGTGGGGTGGGCACCAGCACCGGCACCGGCCGCCATGCTTCGAGACCCTCCGCCAACCCCGCCGCCGTTGGCCCAAGCCGTGCATCTTTTTAAGAGATAAGAGTTGTTTTTTCGTGTGTGTATGGCGCAAAAGATGCCAGATTTGCGGGAAAAATAGGAGAGGGGCGGGCACAAAGCGAGTGTGCTGACTCCGGGGCGGGGGAGCGCGTACAGCAGCATGCTACTGCTGGTAGGCTTTTGGAAAACCTCGGTTTAGTCTACATGCGTGAAAAACTCACGCATGTACAGCAGACCCTACACGGCAGCTCCGCGGCGAACACGCACGTACGTGCGGCCCACACAAGAAGTTGTCGCTGCTCTTGTTTAATTACTAGTCAAGTGCCAAGTGACGTACATCGGCCTGGTAAGGATGTATACTGCCCTTGTTGTCTCCCCCGCCTCCCTCCCTGCTGTACCCTCCCTCTTCTACAACACAACACAAAACGCACGCAAAGGCCTTTTGACACGAAAGCTGGGACCGCTAACCACCTGTACCCCCCCCCAAACCCACGCAGGACCCATCGACAACGAGACCTACCTGGGGCACAGAAACGGCCGTCCTTCCAAGGACGCCTTCGTCGCCGCCGCCACCGCCGCCGGACCACTCCCGCCGCCGGCGTTGTTGCCGTCTCCGAGGCAGATCGCGTGCCACTCGTCCTCGCAAGCCGAGCACACAAGCTCGGGCGGCATGCTCTTTCTGCGGGCGGTCTCCGCCTCTTCCGCCGTCGTCACGGCCGCCGCCGCCGACTTACCCTTCGTGGCCGCCTAGACACGATCATAGGTGAGAAGCGAATGAGAGAGTGCGACGAGGTGTGCTGTCTTCGGAATGGTGCACGTGGGAGGAGATTGAATCGGACGAGACGTGCAGATCAATGGCTAACGTGCGTACCACTGTACTTGGACGGTGGCGTCGGGGGGGAGGGGGTCGGGTTGAACGTAATTGGTTTGGTTGAATCAACGGTAGATGGACGGACGGCTGCGGAAAAGCATGCGGGACAACGGGGAAAATAAATCATGAGTGCTTCAGCGGGGCTAGTCATTCCTGTGTGCTGCACCTTTTTAGTGTGCGAGAATAGGCCCTTTCTATGCATATGTCTTCATGTCACATGTTACGTGGGCGGGTCAACTACCCCACATTTCCACACCTTTGCCAGAACTAAACGTAGGTAGAGAGATGTAGGTGGCAGGTGATACACAATATAAAGAGAAATAGCGCGAGAGACAGAATAGAGGGCGGCAGAGACAGGTCCAGGGAGAGAGAGAGTGAGAGAGACGACGACGACAACAATGACGATGGTCGGGGATACACATTGCACATCACACACACACCTTGGCACACCCCCTGCAGCGCTGGAGGTTGTCGAAGTACCTCAGCTCCTGCCAGTCGTCCCACGGCCCTCGCGCGGGCGCATTCCCTTGCGTGCCTCTCCTGTGGCGTGCACCAAGCGAGTTAAAGCGAGTTGAGCCGGTCAACGGGGGGGGGGGGGGGAGGGCGACGGGGGTCAAGACTCTAAACAGGGGATGGGAGGGGAGGTTCCGCTGCAATATCTCTTCACCAACCAATCGCCCCATCTTCAAAAAATGTTGAACAGTCAAACAAACATGATCAGACGCACACAAACACCTGCATAGCGCGTTCGGTGGTTTCTTTGCTCAACGACACTGCTTGTACGACTGACGCATTTTCATTGGTCAGCCGGTAAGCGCCACCGACACCACCGAGTAATACGAAGGCATACACACACATACTTGGCGTCTTTTCATTGGTCAGCCCGTTAGCGCGGTCAATACTAACAAAAAAGACATACACGCACACACACACGCACCCGTATCCATCAGGTGGGTTGATGACCCACTCGCAGAACAGCGCTTCGAACTCTCGCGACAACCGGTCCGCCGCCAACCACAGCTCCGACCCCTCTCTGTTGAAAAGCTTCGCGTTGGACCACGCTAGCCGCACGTCGCTCGCCTATTCCGAAACGAAACAGCATGGCATGTAACCGGCAGAACGTGGCGCGCCGTGGCATTAGAGATACATAAAGCAGCAGCAGCAGCAGCAGCAGCAGCAAATGAGGATGGGTCCACTCTACTTACTGCTGCGTTGAGCGCAACAAGCGTAGACGAAACGCACGTATACATTACACACATACACATAACCTTTCTTGCCGACTCCCTTCCTCCCGCCACACAAGGAAGCGCTTCGAATCTCGCAAAACCGTCATCACACCTCCCGCACGAGGCTAACACCAAGGTGGAGGTTTCGACGAAACCCTATTTTACACTCTCTTCCTCCTTTGCTTCTTTGGGAGCGGGGGCGAGACTCACAAAAGCGAACTCGTTGACGTAGCCACCCCGCTTGAGTCTCTGGTCCACAAGGCGCATGTGCACCGGCCGCGTGATCTTGGTGTGGTACCCCGGCACCTACCGCCGTGTCGTCGTTGAAGCGCGCCAAAATTAGTTTTTTAAACATCGGGCTTCTTTTTTCCGCGGGAAAAAACTCGACATGTATTACACACGTGGTATGTTGTATACATGTTCATTTGCTATTCGGGGCGCACCACAAAACCGCGGAGTGCGGAGAGTAGGCAAGGGCAACAAACCTTGCAGCACGCAAGCACGCCGCAAGGGGTGGGGAGGGTGATGGCGGCGAGACTGGAGGAAGGGGTGCACGGCTAGATACAGGGAGACGAAACAAGAGCAAAAAAACTGTATAATAATATTACCACGATAGGCAGATAGAGAGGGGAGGGGAGAGAGAGAAAGAGAGAGACAAATGTGGTGGTGGAGGGGAAGGCGATCGTGAAAAAAAAATACTTCGTATATCTTACGCTTGGCCAGTTTTACACGCTTACGGACAAATAGCATTAAACGGTGACACGGGTTCACACTGTCCTCACGGCTACTAGTCAAACACAGAAGAAACCTCTCTTGTTGAACAAAGGCCAAAAACGATTCGCCAGACAGCTTCTCTGTCAGACACGAACTACTTTTTTCTCGTTCTACATGTACAACTGCTTTCGGTGGTTCGCTTGTACCCCGCGCTCGTTGGTTCGTAAAAGGCAATGGCGACAGCAGCATAAATAGCTTGAAATACCGCGTGCGATGACTGTTGGGGGGTGTTTTGCAGTTCAAGGCATCGACGACAGCAGAATATGACGGCAATACAAGATTTCCACTACTGTAATTCATCTTGGCATGCATACCTCTGCCGGGTCGACGCTCTCCAGGAACGCTATCACGTCCTCGTTGCAGCACAGCCGGTTCAACACAGACTTGCACCTGCTCCCCGCCAAAGCCCAAGGGGAGAAGGAGACAAAGCGAACGAAACGAATGGATGAGGGAGTCACAGCAGAAGGGGGCCCCGCGACGAGGCGGGCCGGAGAGGGGGTGTGCTTGTGTGGTTTTCGCGTCGGGGGCGGAAAACACCAAAGAGCCTCTGTTTTCGGTTCTATAGGTTCCCTTGCAGAACTGCGACTCCTTGCTCCTGTACCGCGTGCCTTGAGCAAGGTTCACATAGACGAGGGTGTGGTGGGATCACGACAAACCTTAATAGCCAAGAAAGGGACTCGAACAAACGCGGTCGGTATCCATTGCGAAGCATACCTTACGAGGCGAAACACCGTTCGCCGAGCCAGAGCCCCGTCCAGCTGAAGGCATGCGTGCCACGCCTCTATCCCCGACGCGGCCTCGGCCAGCAACTGCACCAACCACGAATCATGGAGAAGAAGAACAACGCGTGCAAAACATGCGTCACGGATCCATCATCCGTCGTATGAATATCATGGGCATCGATAATGGTTTTGTACCGCGGATCATGTGGTCGACATTATTCGGAACGCCGCTGTTTTAAGGAACACGGAGGGCGGGACGGAGAATCTGAAGGCATGGCGGAAAAAAACCGACTGCTGTAGCATAACCAGAAAACACCAGCAGCAACACCACGGTACCACAGCCAACCAAATTGGTTTAACGAAAATAACAGCAACAGCAACAAATCCCAGCGCAAATTACCGTCCGTCAGCAACAACGGCCAGCAGCAGAGGCCGTGTGCACACGCCGACGGGGTGTCCCAGGCTGGGAAGGAGTAGAGAGGCGATGACCGCCCGTGACGCAAACCAAAGTAAACCACCCTCCCCCCCCCCCAAAAAAAAAAGAAAGCCCGTACCTGTCCGCAGTGCTCCACTTGGAACAGCGGGGATCGCTCCCCTTCAACCACCTCGGAATCGCACCGAACCACAAGCTTCTTCCCCGGATACTGCGACGGAACGTGAGCGGGAAATATCGTAAGCGCCAAGCAGGCAGTTAGCGGAGCCGTAAGAAAGAACCAAGAGCGAGCCAGATGACAAGGAGAGGGGGAACAAGAAACAGGGTTAAGAATGCATTGCTCTACTGGTGAGGCACCGATAGGCGCTCGGGGTGCACGCGCGGGTGTTACTTTCCTCCCGTTGAGAGGTTGGACACGTTCGGTCCGCTACGCCCTCAGCCCTCCTCCTTTGCCAACACTTTTTTTGGCAACCGCTCGTTTCTCAGTCGTACATGACGCCCCCGTGAAGGAAATATCTCACCACCGTGGCCTTCAAAGGCAGTTGTCACAACATGAGAGTTCGAACAGCCGGCATGGCGACAAGTTTCTTACCCTCGTCGAACCAAAGCATTTCATGACATCACCTCCTCAACGACGAACGCCACAGACCTAGCCTAGCCTAGCCAATACATGTACCCAAACCACGACCGTTTATCCAAAAACAGCAACAACAACACCGACAAGACAAGAAATCCCCAAAACAAAACAACAAATCCCCAACCCCCCCCCCCCCCAGCCCTATCTGCGTACCCCTTCTTCTCGCTCTGACCTGTTTGGAATTACACCGCACAAATCGCGAGTGAGTGCACCGGTACCCCGGCGGGAACATGAACGCCTTCGTGTGAAACCCGGGCCGTGGCGACACGATCCCGAAGCTGACGACCTCGTAGGGCCCGAATCGAAAGGGTAGGAGAGTCTTGCGCAGCAGCCTCTGGGCCTGGAGGGCGCGGGCGAGGACGAGCGGGAAGGGCACGAGGGACATAAGGAGGGAAAGAGGGAGGGAGGGGGTTCACGGAAAATAATTGTGTCGGAGATGCGGGTGCACACCTCCCCTCCCCGGACATGAAGACACAACCAACCGTTTGTCTACGATCGGAACGCCCTTTGACGTCAAGCATGACACCCATGACCGATCTCGTCGTGCTTTTGGTACCGACCCGTCTTCTTCACAATGCTCTTGCTCTCGCGCGCACGCATCGAGACGACACTCTTACTCTCACGTGCCGAGCAACCATCATCTGCCATCACCGTGAGGCGCCCTCAAAGTGTCGTTCGCTTGGGCTATTCGCCCGTACACACAGTTACATACCGCAACACAGACACCCCTACGACAGAGCAACCAAAACGACAGACAACTAGAAACGACGATCGTAAAAACAGATCAACGAACACGTTCCCTGCCCGCAAGAGAGCTATTCGCCCACCTGCTTGATACACTTCTTCCGTGAGGCCTCCTCGGAGGGGGCTGCTGCTACCCCTTGCCGTAGCTGCAGCTCCTGCTCCTCCTCCTCCTCGAGTAGCTCCTGCCGCTCTTGCGCGTCCTCGTCCTGCCGCCCCCCATTGCCGTACTTCGCCTCCCCCCCCGCCGCCGCCGCCGCCGCCATCCCCTGCGGGTTCGATCCTCCCCTTGGGCGCCGGGGCAGCACCAAGACCCCCGCCCCGGTGTTCCCGCCGCCACCGCCGCCGCCACTTTTGCTACCGCCCTTCATCGTCAACACTACGGAAGACGGCCCCCGCTGCCTCTCGCTCCCACCGTCCCTAACACCCCAGGAAGAAGACGGCTGCTGCTGCTGCTGTTGCTGCTGCTGCTGCTGGACCGCCGGCGCGGCCGGTGAATTGCTCCTGGGCCTGGCGATCTTGATGGTTGTCGGCTTCTTGCTGCTGCTGTTGTTGGGTGGCCCCGCTGCTGCTGCCGCCGCCGCCGCCGCCGCCGCCGCGGTTGGAGACTGCGACGAGTCTCGCCCGGCAGCAGGAGGCGCGATCTTCGGCGTCCCCTTAGCGTTGAACGTGATCCGGATCTTAGGGAGCACCTGTTTGACGCCGCCAGTTGCGCCGCCGCCACCCCCGCCGCCGCCGCCGGTCGTCCCTGGTCCTGGATGCGGAGGCTTTCTTTTCTTCGACGGTGGGCGGACGGCGCCCGAAGCTGGTGAGCCCCAGTCCCCGTGCTGCGATGCTGGCGCCGGACTAGATGACGTCAAGCCACCGCCGGAACCGCCGTCCGCCCCGCCTCTGCTGCTCTTTAGTCTAACCTTCAACTTCTTGATCTGTGCGCGTCCATCCAACAAATAAAATTCGACCAATTCGCGCGAAGGGCATGTTCCATGGGTAGGTTATAAGGCCGACGGGAGGGGGGGGGGGCGGGGGAAGCAGGGGGGAAGGGTAGGTATGAGAGGTTGCAAAGAAAAGCAGGTGTTGCCGCCAAACCACAATTCACATGTGACTGAAAGAGACGAACACGGTCGTGTGATGCTCGGGTCGTCCCCAAATCCTCGGAAAATTAAAGGCATCCATACACCGCAAAACCCGTAAGACGCTCTACAAAGCAAAGCAACACACTCTTCCTGTACATCACATCACCCCGAAATTTCCCCAAGCCATTTGGCCCAAACAAAGACCGACGAGGCGACTAACCTTGCCCTCCCCCTCGTTCCCGCGCCCCCCCGCCAACTCGTTGTCTGGCGGTTCTCCGTACCCCTCCTCATCCGCCAGCATGTGCGACATGTCCGACTGGGCGGCTAGCAACGGCGCGAGTTTGGCGTTGTACATGGCCTGTGATGGGACAGAAATATATATAGAGAGAGAGACAAACACAAGTGACATTGGAGGCAAATCGTGGTAGGGGCAGCTGCAGCTGTAGCAAAATGAAAAAAACAATACTGCGAAAAATGTAAGGTGCCCCTTGGTGCCTCCATGCGGCACCACAACAATCTCCTCGTTTTTTTCCTCGGCGATCTCCGTGAATGCTTCTGCCCAATCGCACGCAGCAGGCAAAGGTCAAGACAGACACACTTCTGCCAGCAGTTGCACGCCGACGCTGACACCAGAGTACTATTAATAGTGCTCCAACAACTTACTTCAAAGGCCCCACCGCAGCTCTCCCCCCACGCCCTCGCCCAATCACCGGGAGGGTTGTAAGCGAGACAGTTAGCGAAGACGAGCCGGACCTGGGCAGCAAAGCCCAGAATATCGCCAGCGAACCTGTTTCGGTGTGCCGTTCACCATAAATTTACGGAAAGAACGAATTGTCGGGGTCCTCGCTTGAGAGAGCAAGTGAAAGAGCGAAGGCGAGCAGGAGGGAGGGGGCCCAGGAGCGGACTTGGGGGGAGGGGGGCAGGCGGATAGCTGCCACCTGACTGCTTGACGCAACAGCTTCGCGCTCAGCCTCTCTTCCCTCTTTCTCTCCAGACCTTCCTCCCCCGTAAAACCACCCGTCCAAAACGCCGTGGGTGAATTGAAACGCGATGTGGCATTGTCCAACCGTCAACCGCCAAGCGACTAGGCTGTCCCACCCCCTCTCCGGTCTCCCAACCCCGTCGCCTTTACCCCCATCTCTCACCCGCCCGCCTGCAGCTTCCTATCGATCGTCCCGAGGTCCATGGGGGTCTGCACGTACTTCTCGTAGCTGGGGGCGGTGCGGGGATCGACGGGGGCGAGGAAGAGGCCGGCGTGCTTGTGCTTCATGAGGGAAGACATGACGTCCGCCATCCTGGCCTCCGCACGAGCCCGATTCCGCTCCTGGGGGTTACGGTTGCCGTGACGCACGCGCGTGAGCGTGAGCGAGGCCGTCACAGCGGAGAGGGGGGCGGAGAACGGGAATCGCCCGACGGCTACTGGAAGGGCGTCACACGTTTGCATTTCTCGTAGACTGGGTGGCGCAACCCGTTGCAACAACTGTTGTGTGGTCGATTGAAAATAAGAGGGGTGGATTATCGCTGTACAAAGCAGCAACGCAGCACCGTGTTTACTGCGGCTGCCACCCAACATGCCGCCCATGGAGACCCAAGAGCGGCAAAATCGAAGCAGAGCGTACGGTCTAGGCCCACCCAAAAATAACTCCGCCAACTCTCTTGTGTTAAAACAGAGGTGTCTGTTTTAACGTTTGGCTATGCACTGCACCGCACTCGACTGCAGACGATTGCCGTAAACGCTGCACCTTCTACTGCTGTTGTATGGTACTCTTTTCTTGTTGTACAACAAAACACGAGCGCGGTGAGGATACTTGGAGGCAGGGGACGAAACACCAGCACCTTGGTAAACACGTGTACCAAGCCCGCTTGCACCTTCTATTGACCCTCTGCCTTACAAAAAGTAAGCCTTGGCCCCCACTCCAGGAACGGGTACACCGCACGAGAGACTCCTTGGTAACTAACTGTTCGGTATTGGATCACGTGCAGTCTGAATCCGGGGGCTGTACCCTTCCGGCCTGTATCCTACTACTGTACGCCGCCTACCTCTTAGGGGAGCCTGTTGGCTGTTGCGAGCGAGCTCGTTTTCATCCCAGCAACAACCCCCGTCTTTTCATTGGCCAGTCGGCGAGCGCGGTCGATTTCCAATCGAAGCTTATGTACAGAACACGCGGCCACTCTGTCGGGGAACTCCGCGGACCAGACGTTGTGGTGTGTCCGCATTTCGTGTCCCCCTCGAGAAATACTTATTTCTGTCTTTCATTCGTCAGCCGTCCACTGCGATCCGTACCAACTACTCAAGAGGAAAGACACACAACATATGTATACATCCCGCTAGAAACTGGCGTCTTTTCGTTGGTCAGCCGGCTAAACATCGCGGTCGATGCTATGCATAGTTCAAAACAAACACACATGCGCGTGCGCGCGCGACACGCTGCGCCCACCCACCTCTGGATCTGCTGCCGCCGTGCGCCGTGGCCGTTTCAGCGAGTCACCACTCCCACCACCACCGCCACTATATCCACCAAACCCATCACCATACGGGCGTTTCGAAGCCATGCTCCAGCCTCCCGTCCCAGCTGGGAGGAGAAGGAGCTGAGCAGCAGGGGTAACGAAAGAGTCGGGGTAAATTGATTGCATCAGTGGCGACGTGCTAAAAAAAAAATGCACAACGCTCACAAGAGGGTAACAATAGCGGGCCGTAGAGTATCGCCGCCTGCTGCTATCTAGAGGTGGTACATCATTTTGTGTTGATGCGAGCGTCCTGAGTCAAGCTTGTTTCGATCGATTCCAAACGAGAAAGAGGACAAGTGGGGGCTGGGCGCACTAGTGAGTGTGATCGGGGGTTGACTGATTGCCCTATGCATAGACTTGTGTGTACAAGAGGGTCGATAGCATTTGTATTCTGATCACGTTGTGTTTCTGACTTATCTATGCAAGTTAGAAGAGGATGGTATACAGCAGTACTTGGTGTTGGTGTTGGTGTACATGATGACTCATCTTCGGCAATCAGTAATGTGTGCCAGTGGAAAGCGCCTGTTAATTATTTTAGTTGTGCACTTGGCTGCTGTGTCGGAACTGCTGCTGTTGAACCAACCCGTACGGCGTTTGAAAACAAAGGAACACACCGCAGGAATTCATCTGTGCCGCCCAGGACCGGGGCTCTTCACCTAGAGAGGCAATCCATGGCGGTACGTAGGTGGAACAAAGTGCGAGCGACGGTTAACACACCGGTGGAGTCAACAGCAGTACAGCAGTAGGTGCCGAGTCCAACCCCGCTGTACTGCTGTAGACTGTAGACAGGAGGCAGTCCGGCAAAACACTTCGTCGCTGTATGTATCCTAGTGCAGCCTGTCTACTTTCTGTGCCTCGCGGCCTTCTGAGAATATTGCCCTGTTTCAACTGCTGTAAGCGTGGCTACCACTGCTGCTGCCTGTTTCCGAACAAACCACAAGCTCACACTACACTTCCACGGGCGAAGTCAAGTTGACGCAAGCAACTGCTGTTGTCTTGCACGCTGGTGCGGCCTCTCTGTCGGTGTTCGAATGTACGAATGTACCAATTCAAAAGTTGGCCTCTATTTCCAAGACAAAATACGGGCGTGTGCGTGTGGCAACACCACAACTCTCTAGGGAAACCTACCCTAACTAACACCAACCCCAGGCTTCGAAAGGCCCTGCTACCTTGCGGCTTGTCCTGCTTGTGGCGATCTAGCAAGCGACACACCAAAACCGCTGCTGTGCTTGTTGAGCAACCCGGGTTTTTTCTCCGTGCTTGGTACTAATCGGTCTGTATGGCAAAGAAGCGCGGTTCATTTGGTTCCTTCACGAAAATCCTACGCGTCAAACCGCGGAGCGAGACCACGTCCTTCGCCAAGGAAGAGGTGCACTCACCAATGATCCACCCTGTTCGTCCAAAAGGATCGCCCGCGAGAGAGGATTTCCGGGCCGGCTGAAAAATGAGCTAGGGAGGGGACGTTTTGGATCATATCCCGCCAAAGACGCGCACCTCGATCATATGAGTTGCAATACACATGAGGTCGAAAACCCGCACGTGCCGACCCCCCAACCCATACCTATTTGACACCGCTCAATCCCATCCACGGTCCCCTTATCTTTTGGGTTGGGTCGCCGCGTCGCCGCGTCGCCGCGTGGTGTGGCACTCTTAGCTCTGCCTCCTGCTCCACACACCGCTCTCCCCGTCCTTCTCTCTCACGGTTCGACATCGCGTGACAGGTATGCCGAATACTGTGCGTGCATTGGTGGGCTTGAGACTGTTTTCCTTCACGCACTGCTTTTATCTGTGCGTGGGTCAAGCCGAAGAAAACATGTTCAAAAGACCACCAAAGCTGACAACTGCAGCCGCGCGGCTCGTGCATGATCGCCGCCTGCGGGAGCGCGAGGGTTGGAATCGTCGAATTCGGCAGAGGTCGTTGTTGCCTAGGATCCAGGATCGCCATGAGCTCCATGCCCTTTACTTGCAAAAGGCGCGCTCGTCGGTACGCTTGACAACAGTTGCGGTGTCCGCGGTGTGCAGCAGTTTGGAAAAGATATCTCGCTCCCCCCAGGGAGCACCTCAACGACCAACGAACAAGTTCCGCACGATCGCCCTCTGTTGCGGGTAAGGGCCACGGCACATGATCTCCGACTCTAGTATGCATATGACGCTGTTCCCTGAGGATTGGAGCGATGGCCCTTTTGCCCGAGGCGGGGGTAAGTTTGCCTGCGAGGTGGGTTTTAGATCCTGCGCTCATGTGGAGACCACCTTCATAAAGGTACAATCTCCTATCGGACTGGTTCTTCGTCACAGAGGGCGTGCGACAAGGATGTGTGCTATCCCCACTGCTATTCAACATCTTCTTCGTCGAGGTCCTCGAGGTCGTCGTTATCCGATTCAGCGAGGATGATGTTGTTCTGCGGAACCTGGTGTGCTTGGAGGAGGGGAAGACGGAAGCGGGGGGGGGGGAAGAGACACCCCTTGACCGAGTACGGAGGGCAGTATGGGTATGCTTTATGCCGATGATTCCGGCGTCGTATCGAGGTCTGCAGAAGGACTGGCGAGAATGATGACCATCATCGTTGAGGTGTTCGGAGAGTTCGGGCTAACGGTGTCGGAGAAGAAGACGGAGACGCTCCTGATGCGCGCGAAGGACAAGTCGACTACAACATCACAGCCCCCCCCACCTCCACCGCTGACCATCGAAGCCGCGGGACAGAAATACGCCCAGACGACCGAGTTCCGGTACCTCGGTGGCCTCGTCAACGAACATGGCGACCTCACCCGGGAGATCAGCTACAGGAGCAGAGGAGCGTGGGCGTGCCTCAGGCGATATGGCCGGGAGCTCTTCGACAGACCGAAAGCGCCATTCCGACTCAAGATCCGCCTCCTCCAGGGGGAGGCGATGGAGGCACTGCTGTACGGCTGCATGACATGGTCACCACTCAGCGGCCACTGTCAGACGCTGCGGTCGACACACCACCGACTGCTCCTTCGAGTTATCGGGTACAAGCGCAAGAAAGACACCTACCGGCAGCTCTCTTACGCCCAGACGCTGAAGAGGGTCGGATGCCAGAGCGTTGAAGCCACGATCCGACAACGACGCCTACGGTTCGCGGGAGCATTGGCAAGGCAGTCGGACGGGCGACTCCCGAAACGACTGATGCTCGGCGAACTGGCGGGGGGGGAGAAGCCACGTAGGGGGGGACAGGAACAGAACTGGCCGAAGTGTGTGCTCGACGACCTGAAGGCATTCGGGGCCGACCACGGATCTACGAAAACCGATCCATGTTGTCTCGGAATCCCCGTACCGAAAGACACGGCACCGAAATTAAAGTGGACGGAAGCCGCGAAGGTAGAGGGGGGAGTACCCTGGCATGCGGCGGAGCTGCAGGGAGCTGAGAGGTTCATGACCTCCTGGCACGAGAAGGAAGAAGAGGCCAGCCAACAACGAGCGCTCAGACGAAACCACAAGCCAACAACCAATGGGGCGGGAGGGGGGCAGGAGACGGACGAGACGGCGAGGGAAGAAAGCAAACGAGAAGAGACGGACAGAGTGGCACGATACGTGCCGGATTGAATTTCTTTTAGCCAATTACCCCCCCCCAACGCTGCACCATTGCACCAACCCCCCAGTAGTGATGACGTACCATTACAATGTATCGCTGGTTGGTGGCCATGTTTGCGTGTTTGCTTGTTCGTTAGTGGTCTCTCCACCGTGTGCCTGTTTCTGCCTCTTATTTCTTGTTATTTTCGGCCTGGTCCCTTTTTGTCCTCGCTCTTTTTCATTTTAGTTTCATTTTATTTTCTCTTCTTCTTACTGTTTTCATTTTTTTTTTTTTTCTCTATTTCTCTCTTTTTTTTTTTCTCTCTTTTTCTGTGCCAGATGGCCTTGTCTCTGCTTGCGTTGTGAAGTACCAAGATTGAACCAAGGGGGTGTACCTCTTTCTCTCCGGCCCATGATAGTGACTCCTAGTCTCAGTTGATACCTCGCATAGCGCGCAGAGGGAGTGGAGGATTCCAGAATATCTGTCGTTAATTTCTATTGACTTGCGGACCCCTCGGGGCCAGTTTATTTGAGTGTACCTTTTTAGGGTAAGTTAACCTGTGACCACGGGAATCGACCGCGTCGAGTGTGGATCAGTACGGACATACGAAGGTACTGGGTAGAGAGAGATCGGAACGGTTTTTAATGTGAAGACAACAACAACAACAACAATCTCCCCAACGTCTGTCGAGGACGATTCCCTGCTTTTCACACTCAGCGGTAAGACAGCTGCTGCTGCTGCTGTGGTCCATGCGTGGATGATCTGATTCATCCGGCGAGTACACGCTATCGTAGAGGATCGGCCAACAATTTATCGATCAATCGACGGGAGGCCGGGACGGCCACACGGTACGTCTTCGGAGAGTTTCCGATTTTGGATTTTTTCTCTTTCGAGTGAGCAGGCCCCAACAGTCGAAAGACGCGGGACGGATGCTCCGATCTCGGTCAACTTGAGCGTTAAAGTTGCCTATATCCGCCTCCGCCTTCATGCTGAAGCCCCCCACAGCAGTCTCCAAGAGCATGGGCAAATACCCCTTCGAGGCCGGGATGGCTGTTTGTCTTTTCTTATTTAGCCTGCCGGACGGAAAGATTCGGGGCACACCTATGCTAGATAATTTACGCGCGCGCAGCATGCAATTTTACCTGTTTTTTCGGTACACATCAAGCTCTGATCCGTGCACCCGCGGATGACGTGTGTTCATCCTGTGCAGCGATGCAACAGGATTTACAGGCACGCATAACTTTTTTGCACTCACAGGCATTGTTTGCGTGCGAATCCTCATATCTTGCCAGAGTGCCCTCTACATCGGGTGAATACAGCGGAACAGGCGATCGCCGCCGGTCCTTGATGCCTATCGCTTTCATGACAACGAGACCGCCGTTACGCACCATCCCCTATCATGACAACGACACCGCCTTGAACAAGTATCGAATTTGCTAATTAAGAGGATTGGCACGCTTGGTTGAGGCAAAAGCTGTGTTGCGTTGCCAGTCCCCGTGATCATCAGTCGTGCTGCAGAGACGACTACTTGTTGTGCCCTCCGACCAAAAGATTTTTTTTTCAAGGATTTCCTGCTCCCCGCGCGAAAGAGAAACGGGTGATAGTTTGTAGTATGCCGCTACCGGGGGAGCGAGGGCGAGAGAGGAGACGCACTTCCTCTAATTGACGGTGGCAAACAGGTTACGAGATTGACATCTGTAGCCCTTCGTCCAAGCAGCATGTCACAACCGTGGTGCCCCAGCAATCATGATGGCGCCGTTTCTCTCGCAGTTCCGGTGCATGCATACCCTCAAGCAGATCCCCTTTCGTCCGCGGCCCCTTCCGTGTGATGGAACGCGACCTCCACAGGTTCGATCGAGGACCAGAAGGAATCCATCGAGCGAGACTTGGCGGCGCCGGCAACATGCAGCAGCGAATTGGGTGCGTAATTCTGTGCCCTCTCTGTGCTTTGCGATTGACACCCACCGGTTATTGCAGTGATTGCAGCAGGTCCGGGTGCAGCTATGCGGTTATTTTGTGGTGCAGCAGCAGGCAAGATGCCTTGAGTTCCTCCCCCCCCCCCCCGTCCCGGTCCGCTCCGGCTGTGTCCATGACTGTACCTGGCATGTACAAAAAACACTCGCGTTGAATGGGGCGCTGACGCCACCATCGTCCCCCAACCGCAGCAATGACGAGGGAGTCGCTGCAGGAGGCGCGCGGCCGGAGAAGTTTTGGAGGGCAGTCACTCCACCGCGTGAGTGCAGAGTTCTGAAGTTCAACAAAAGCCATTTCACTATAATATGGCCTTCGTTCAGATCTTGCCTACATGTGGGCAGCATGACATTGAGCCGTACCGTGAAAACTTGGCAAAAGCATTCTAGCCACCGCATCTGTTGCCGCCTGACGCTTGCGCCCGGGACGCCGCCCACTGGTTGCCTCGGGTACCTTTTTTTTTTTCGGTGAAAGTGGGAAAATGTTTGTCGGATCGGACGCACAGCAAGCACACACGTCTTTCTATAGAGGGAGTGGCGCAGGTTCAATGTAGTTAGCAAGCTTGGTGCAGAGATCGCGCGTCTATTCATCATGTTGGTGGTCTCCCCCCCCGCCGATTGTAAACAACGAAAAACACGGTAGTATACATATATATGACGAGAAACCCCGACCATTGGAACCACCTGGAAACATGTATCACCACCAGTGACGCCGGGTCGCAAAGCGAGTTCTGGTATCAGTCAAGTAGAGGACGCTGATAGGTGCGTTCAAGACCCCCACCCCCCCGGCTTTTGTTTTTGCCTTTGCTGTGTGGCGTCGACAGTAGTAATCATGGAATCACAAACCCCCAAAAGGGGCTCCGCCATGTATTCTTGGTTATTCTATTTGCTGCGCTTGTCGCCGTAGGTGCGCGATCCCTACCTATATGCAGGTCGCACGCCGGTGGGTCGTTCAACGCCTATCAAGCTGTGAACACACGCACGCTCTTTGAGCGATCTGGATCCACTGACGGACTTGTATCATAGGATTGCAGTTCGGGTTGAAATTTAGCTGTTTCTCGGTTCGGAGGTATGCATAGATAGGCACATTGCCCTATTCTTGGAGGCCTCATTCGCGCCGCTGCTGGTAGTGCTCGAAATCGGAGTTGATTGGGACCGTTTCCCCCCGGTTTTTGCAGGACGACCGCGACCGACTGCCGTTGCATAGCAGCGATCCCAATTTTTTAGTAGCATCAATTCGTCTTTAAGCTTTAGCAGACAGCAGTGGAATCTCTTTCTCCCTCCCTTCCTGTCTACATGTTGCGGAGGGGTCGTGGAGGGAAAGGGAGTCGGGCTTCATTTTTTGGCCGGGGACTGCTCCGGCGATGAATAACACACAAGGCACAATAAATACCCTGTTTGTTGTCGATTCCCTCTCATCTTCCAAACCCCTTTCCCGCCCCTGATTCTCTACTCACCCTGCTCCCCTCCAACCACGGACCCAAGCGAGCGCACCCTGTTCCTGAACAACCTTCCGTTTCAGGCATCGCCTTGTCGAGTGCGACAGGTGATGTCCCGCGTGGGCATCGTCTCAAGCGTTGAGCTCGAGACGATGACCACGACGGGCATGCACAACGGGCGAGGGTGAGTGCGTTTCAAGTCCAGCAGTCAGCAGTGCATGCATGGGTACACGAAAATTCTCCTTGTTTCTCTGTTTTTGCGGTGCGGTGGATGTTTTACCGTGTGGTCGTGGCGGGATGGCGAACACGCACAAGGCACGAATCAAGCCAGGGCTCTCTCCTACTGCCTCGAGGCACTGCTACTGTAGTCTCGTTTGGCGTACTGTAGTGTTATGTCCCGGTCGCTTTCGTTGCATGCCGAAGATGGCACTTCACACGCACACGCACACAACCGCCACACGGCAAACCAAACGGGCAGGGTCGTGGTCTACGAGACCGCAAAAGGGGCGCGGGATGCTCTTCGTGGCTTCAACGACAAGACGATGGTGATCGACGCGCGCCTCGTCGCCGTAGCCACTACCAAATGGCCCACGGTGGGGCACTTCGCCGGTAAGTTTAACTTTCTATACACGCTAGATAGACTTGCTCTGAGTCGACAAAGAGTACGATTCCCGATCCCATACGTTCCTAGCAGTGGATCAGTGGTTTTCGTTTCTACGATACTGCGCTCTCGCCTCGTGTGACCGACTTTTATCCCCATCGAAACCCCGGTTTTTCGAAAGCTTTCACTATTTAGGCCGAAATCAACCATGTTCGCTTCTACTAATAGCGCATGTGCGCTAACGATTTTCGTCCCAAGGAGTTGAGTTGGACGATCGGATGTACTGCAAATCACGTTGTTACGCCGCCGCCTCCTTTTACGCCTCTTGTTGTCCTTGCGAGTGCATAGCTCTCTAATATATTCAAGGCTCAGCGGTCGGGCGCTTCCAAGTCACATCGTGTAGCTTTCTATCTCCGTTGATGTTTGGCCGTTACAGAAGTGAAATCGTTCTCACCGACAAGATGCCTGAACCCCGCCTCCCCCTCCACCCCCCGCCATCCACGCCGCCACCCTCTTTACGGCGGTGCTCCTGGTTTGCCAAACTCGAAAAAAACAAAAAGCCACCATCAACCACTGCGGCCGTTCGCGCAGGGGGCCGCAGGTCGAACTGACGCAGGTTTGGAGCCTGTTCGAAGAAACCACGTACCGCCCAATAGCGGTGTTTCCGTTGTCCGGCAACTGCTGGGTTATTACGCGAGTGGGGGTCGTTGTAAACGGGTCGTGTTTTCTTGCGTTTCTTGGCCGTGATATTTGCTTTTGCCCAGGTTGCTTGCTGTTGGGTGGCCGGTCGACCGGTTCTGACTCGACGTGCTGTTTCGCCATGCGCATCCCTCCCTTTGTGTTTTGGTCTTTGTGCGGTTGTTGTATGCGAGAGCTCGAAGGAGCGCCGTGCCCTCAGCGCGCAAGTTACTGGTGCTTTTGCTGTTGACTTAACGATCCGCAGGTTTCAAGTCGTGCGGGAGCGCGAGAACGTATTAATGGAGCTCGGGCAATTGGGGGCGTCCCTTGGTGGGGACCTTGTGCAGGTTTGTGTGTGAGGGGGATGGGGGAGAGGCGAGCAGGCGCGTTCGTTGTATGCGAGAAATGAATAGACACAGACCACAACCTCGGAACCACATTAGTTCCTGCAAATTTCAAGTGGTCGAGCCGATTGTTTGAGTCGTGTGGGAACTGCGATGCGCTGCGCATCATTATTGTTGGCTGGAAGTCGACGTCTCTGGGGCATGCCAACGGGCCCAGGCGACTTTGAGGAATGACGCACCCCCCTTTGAAGCGTACCGGAGTGTTTTCTGTCGTGCTGCTGTAAATAGGCGCAAGTGCGTACCGGGCGTGCCTTGCAGCAACCAACGTCTCTCTGATGTGTGTCTTCCTCTGGTGTTCTGTCTTCGATTTTCTCTCTCGTTTCCTCGTTCTTTCCTCCCCACCGTGTGCCATACTCTAGGCCGGCGCCGTAGTGCTGGCGTGCTCTACTCTCCTCGGAGATGGCGATGGCGGTGGCGGTGCGAGCAGCGGGGGCGGTGATGGGGGCTACAAGAAGAGGGGGCGTCGTAAGGGCCGCAACAGGACGGCGAGTGGGAAGGACGGGCCGCCCACCAAGAGGGCGAGGGGGGGAGGAGGGGGGGGAGAAGGGGACGGGCGTACGGTCGCCGTTGGCCGGGTTCCCCGGCGTACAACAAAGAAAGAGCTGCGGGAACACTTTGAGGTGCGCAAGGGTGTAGGTGGACACAACATGCGGTCCCGCACATTCACGTCTTTGTCTTGCTCTTTCGGGACTGCTCTCTTCGTGATCGTTGTTTGTTTGAATTGACCGAACTGTTCCGTCTTGCCGCGCCGACAGTTTCCAGGATTTTGTCGTTGACTATGAGATGATTTGTTGTTTCGATGAGGTCTTTTCACTCCGCCCAATCCCTTGTTGTCGGTCTGCTCTCTCTCTCTTTCTCTCTCTCTTGTCGTCAATATCCTACACAAGACCGTCGCCAGCGTGGAGGCCGTCTCTCTTGTGACGGGCAAGGGAAAGCTCCCCCAAGAAGGGTATGTCGCAGCGTTCTGCTTTATTATGCATGCTCATCCGTTGGGTGTATTTTCTTTGGCGTGGTGGGAATTCGTGGTACTTTCTGCGCGACGACAGCAACCACCATTGGTTTGACAGACCCTTGCCTTGTCTGGTCCTGTTGTCATCTTGCTTGACGAAAATTCTGGGGGGAGGTATTTTGGGGTCAACTTTGTTGTTCGTTTGGGAATGCAGTAGGTAGCGGCAAACAAAATGCCCCGAACACGAAATATTCATCATGCTCTCTTTGCTGCGTTTGATGTTCAGGCGGCAGATATCGACCAACACTGCTGTTACGAATCCGATACTTCCCTGAGTTGTACGAACACTCCTTACGCGTGCCGCGCTACGTGTGGCTTCACTTGTAGATCAGAATGCTGCGGGGTGGCACGATCGGACCACCGCAAGATGGTGTATAGTCTATGTGTTCGAGTTACAAACGTTAGGCGGATGCTTACTGATATTATTGCAGTTTGAGTGTCCGACCCCTCTGCCCTCCCTCCTCGCATTCCTCACGATCTTGAAAACCGGAAGGTATGTCACCTTCATGACCCAGGCGGGAGCGTCAAAAGCTGTCCAATACCTGGATGGCTCGTAGTTGTGCACCGACGAGCTCGTTGTCGCTCTGGCTTGATTTTCTAGGGATTCATGATGGCGCCACTCGTTCGTACTCGCCGTGTCAAACGTGCGCCGAGTTCGTGTGTGATTGCGACTTCTGTGAAACGCGCCGACCTTGCCAGTTTGTAGGTGGCAGGGCGTGCGTGTTTTGGTTGTTCTTCTCTTTTGTTCGCTCTGTCGCTCCCACATAGCACACGTGAGAGCATCACTAGATACAGAAGAGTCCCGGAGTGCAGAGCGCACGTGTCGTCATCAACAGCAGGATGGAAGCTACACCCAGACTGCTGGCTAAGTCTAATTGTTTCTTCTTTGTTCTCACACATAGTTCGAAAGAGAAGACGCGAGGTACGTGAGAGGTATTCTATCCCCGGTGTTATGTCGAGGAGTCAAGGGCCAGCCGTATATCTGCGCAGTCAGGCAGCCTGCGATACGGCGTGAGGTTTAGAGTCCAGAATGCCCCACAGGTCAGGTGTGGAGGCTTGTACCGGGTTGTTGGCTGAGTCGTCGATACGATCGGGACTAGCGCGATGGAAGCATAGCAGGTTGTACCAAGGAGGGTGAGAGGGTAGGTTTGCTATCTGTTCTAGGCGGTCTCGAACTCTCTGATCCAGCGGTAGAAGAGGAATAGAAAACCATTGCCAGAATTGTTGAGCTCTGAAATGCAATGGACAGGAGCAACGTATGCTTGGGCGGATTTCGTTGAAATAGCGGGGATTTAGGGTTAACGTCCCCGCCCAGGGTATAGTACCCCATTGTGCGGGGGAACACGCGGGAACTGGAGACTGGTAACCATCAGTGGAAGAGGAGCACCGCGTTGGTTCGAAGTAGATCCCACAGCGATATCTATCGGATCCACGAGAGAGACGGAACAAAGGAAGAGAGAACAACAAGTGGAAGATTGGCAAGGGTTTATTTTACTCGGTAACGATCTCTTAGCGCACACATACATACCATACTACGGTGCGTGATGGAAATAATTTTTCGGCGGTAGGCGGTATTACATACATGGTAGGTTTTTTGGCAGTAGTAGCGACTTTGACGGAGGCGGGCGGTAAACCCTAAATAAATATGGCGGAGGCGGTCATTTTTCGGCGGTAATTTAATGTCATACTATAGTCTATTGCGGTATGTATTTGTTTTGCCGGCGGACGGTATTTTGTGTTGTTGCGTTTTTCGGCGGTAACGAAATTGATTGGCAGAGAGGTGGTGAAAAAAAATACTGCGGTAAACTGGCGGTACACCGGTGGTCGGTACCGATCGCCAGGACGGTAACTTCACGTGGCGATGAAGGCCATACGGACAGCCGTAAATTCAAGCGGCACCAAACAAGGCGGTAATTGCGGCGCTTAGTTAAGGTGCCCGAACGTCCGGCAACCTGTGCCTCTTCGACGGTTTTAAATTATTACCAGTAATTACCTCGATTTGTTCCTGGCGTTTCATCACCAATCTGTGACTCTAACGATATATATATGGTGGTATTATATAATAATTAATCAAGCGTTGACGAAACAATTTTTCGTCTGCCTCCCTATACAAAAAAAATGCTTCTCTTGGTTTCAGAGTAATTATTTATTTATTTTTTCCTGTGTGGAGATAAGATACCATGTGTCCTGCCGCCCGACCTCCCGCGTGTCGACCTACTCGGTCCGTCGGCATGCATGAAGGAGGTTACCAATCTGTTTGAAAGCGCTGGAGACGTCCTGCAGTCTCACGACTGCCATCCTGGACCGTTCAGGCCTGAATTATGTATCCCGCTTCCGGCTACCTTCGAATTTAGTTGCGAGAGCTGCCCCCCTCCACCGTCCACGGGCTGTCATAAGTGTGACTACCGTTTCGTCACTATTCCTTCAGTATGTCTTCATAGGCAATCGACAGTTCTGTTGTAGCATGCGCGGTCGAGTTATCGTGCCTTCCTCGCGTGCTGCTGCTGCGCACAACCGTGTAACGGTTCCCACCGAATGAATGACGTCAGTTTTGCGGCGAGATTTTTCAAGTCAGCCGAACTGGCTTTCTGTTCCGAAACATGGGAATTCTGGTCAGCTCTGTAGATGCCAACTTCCCAAAAGCGCTCGCGATCATGGCGGCCGATGCGCTCATGGACGCTGGCTTTCCCCTTGCGGCCTCTAGCAGCCCCAGAGCCCTGGGGCGTGCGCATGGAGAATGTTCTTCGCGGAATCTGTTATTCTCGTTTCTGCCTTCTTTGTGGCTCACGGGTAGTCGGGACGGGCAGCCACTCAATTTTGGGAACAGCAGCGCGAGCTACGTTTGCCTTCCCCCTCCCCACTCCTCCTTACAATCCTCTACTCCCCACCACTCGCTCTTCTTAAGCGAATGTCTTCATCCTACGAAGTATCTTTCAACGTTCTCAACAACACTGGGCTGCTGTACATCGAGAACGGCTTCACCTACCGGGAGCACATCAAGAAACCGCGGTACTGCTGTTTCTTGATGACAGCATCGACGACAGCAGCGACGACAGCAGTTCGGACGAGGACTCCAACGCCGACAACTCCAAGACCGGAGGCAGCGGGGCTGAATGCGGAGTGCCGGTCGTCAGCTCCCAGGAAAGCTGCAGCAACGATGCGTCCGCTCTTCCCGCTCTTCCCGCAAAGAAGCGCAGGTAATGCTTGCCGTGTTCGAAACTTCTTTCCCTTTGCTTTTTTTTAGTTTCGGCGGTCGTCAACATAGTACGTGCGCAAAGGAGTACATAAAGTTGATGAAAGAGGAAGAGAAAGGGGACAGAAATTAAATAATTAATTAATTAATTAATTAAGGGAAATAGACACAAGTGGGTATACCCACCCCTTTCTCGGACAAAAGTGGGTACTCGAAAATCCAGCGCGCGCGCACTCCATAGGCGACCCCCAAACGACTCAAAACC